GAATGAAAATGCAGGAGCACTATTCAGAGATAAGGACAGAGTGTTGTATCCCTATAACTAGAGATTATTGCAATAGCAGGCTGACTATTGCACCCCCCACACCCTGCTGTCAATCAGCAGAGAAGCGAACCTGAGTTTACAGCAGGCAGTGGGTGGGTGCAATAGCCAGCCTGCTATTGCAATTTGAAATAGTCAATAGCAGGCTGACTATTGCTCCAGCCTAGTGCCTGCTGTTTACATGCAGCTGACGTCTGCAGACGAATGGGGCCACGAGGGGCAGGGAAGGCTCCCCTTCACTGTTGGTATCGGTAATATCTAGGGTTGCACAGATACCAAGTACAGTACTCGGTACAAGTATGAGTACATGTACCGTTACTTTTGAGCTCCAAGACTACACTAGAGAAAAAGTTAGGAGGCAGCTGTCATTTGTAAGGAGCACACGGAGCTCCTGGGATTTGTACATCTCTGTTTTAATGTACGATTTTGTTTTTATAAATATAAATAAAGGGATGCACAGATACCAGTTTTGCGAGTACGAGTACTGGTACTTGCAGAGTACTTACAAGTATGAGTACTGATACATTTTTGTTTATTGTCATGTGACAGTTTTTCTAAAACAATACAGACTAATGATTTCAGGACAGTGGTGGAGGGCCAGAGCCAGGTCCCAGCTGCAACCGCTGCAACCCTGGTAGTTCTCATGAAAATGCCAAGTATCTGCACTGGTACTCGAAAAGTATCTGTGCATCCCTAGTAATATTGGTCAATTTAAGACCAATACTGATCATTTAAAATGTTATGAATATCGGCTCAGATTATCAGTAGATCCGATAATCGGTTAACCCCCAATGTGTTTGTGTGTCTGCATTATAAATGATATGTTGGTGGTCTTTTTTTTCTTTCTGAACAACTACAGAAATGTAAACTTCAATTCATTAAAAGGGCCTGTCATGTGGTCCATTACTTGTTTTAAACATGTATAAAGCGTATTTCCACTTTTGCAGCTAAATTGGGAAAACACCTATTTTATATTTGTTACATATTCCCATTCACATAGCATAAGCTTAAAAAAAAAAATCAAAAATGCTTTTTGCAGTTTAAATTGCTTTTTTTGGGGGATAAAGTTTATTGGCTTCTTAAGGGTTAAAATTTCTACATGCTTCTCCTTCTTTTGTAATGTTAGGATGGGCAGTGAAGGGTTAAAGAATGTACAACCCTTGCTTCTCCATTGTATACTAATGGAGTTAATGAGAAACACAATCCTCAAATTTCAGTCCTAAGGACAGATCACTGTGAATGTGCTCAGAAAATCCTGGATTCAGCCATGTTGCCTGCAGCAAAAAACCATCTTTTTAAATTATGTTTTGGTATGTTGTGGGAATAGGAACACATAGCAAACATATAGAGGGGTTTCCTCAAATTTCACTGCAAAAATGGAAAAACAGTTTAAGTCTTAGTTGGCACCAGCACAGTGAAGCTGAATCTATACAGCTTAACTAAGAATGACATCACTACTCCACAATTAGCATGTGGTTTGAGCATTGAAGGGTTGCCACTGCCTCTGGCAAGTCAAAGCAGGTCTTGTAATGGGTTTTGCAATTCATGATCAAGGTCTTTTACAAGGCATTTGGAAACAATCTCTTTAAATGGTCGGCACTGAATATGACAGAACCCATGTTTTGCATTTGAGACGGTGATGTGACACCTACATCAATAAATATTTGCCATGCAAGTTTGAAATGAAGTCTTTCTGGAACCAGCATCCTTCCAAAACAGTATCCTTTTCTGTTTTTTCCTAGTTTGCATCAATTATAATGTATCTGAAAATAATTCAAATAATGTGCAGATGCTGCATATAGAATTTGCAAATATATATATATA